AAGTTTTATATATGTAAACTCCGATTCTCTCCTCTCTATACATAAAAGGCAAAATCTGTCTGTATGGGTAATCTCTAATACCTCGAAAACGGGAGTGCAAAATTGGTGCAGTTTTTTTTCTACAGTTTGCAAATTTTTATTGGGCTAGGTTTGTTCACTATTAATCACTACTTTCCGGCTAAATAAGCTTAATTGAGAAAATATCACGATACATTGTTAAGTATTGATATTTACGTTAGCACTGATGTCAGTGCAAGTCGAGTGCTAAATTCGTATGGACCAGCCATTTCTGGGAATCTAACACGGGTCACCTCATTTGCAGGCGAGTTCTTTTTCCACAGAGAGGCACCTCTGCTCAATCATGGGTATTTTAGTTTATTTTATAACAGTCATTCAACAGCCGACACTACTTTTGGGTACAATGCTTGGTTATACTGACTTTTCATCATCTAACAGCGCAGTGAAAGTATTTTCTTTTTAAATTATTTTTCGCTCTAAAATGTGCCATTTACTGTTTCTGACCAATGTATTCTAAAAATTCATTTCATTTTGGGGAAAAAAAACTCTAATAAATTCATTGGATTGCAATCGAAAATTTATTTGCAAATTTAACAAAAATTAATAATAGAAAATAAGTGAACAGTTTGATTCTAATAAAGTTGCTACTTTATTTAAATATCCATCAAAAGAGCCATGTACTAATTAGCACATTTGTTTTTGTTTAAAACCATAGAATAGACTTCATACTTGCTTATTGTCTTCAAATGTGAATGTACTATTTTAAATCACAAAATTATTCTTATTTGAAAATGCAGACCAGTCGTTCACCGGAGGTTGCTTAATAAAGGTGACAAAAATAGCAAAAAACAATATATTTTTTTAATTGGGTTACTATATGTCTTTGAGCTTTATGCATGATTGTGTATGTTAATAAATATTGGTTCATTTATTTTTCACATTTTTTTGTTTCGTTTAAATAACGGATGTTCAGCTATTTTTCATTAATACGAAAAAAAAATCATTGCGTAATTAAATTCAGGAATTTCTTAGCCATCAATTCATGAGACAAAATATTGTATACGCTTAATCTCACATAGGGGACATCCATATTGTGAGTGCGAAACCCAATATGGGGATTGAAAAAAAATAATTCGTTCAATAAGGTAGATTTTATTCAAGCAAAAGAAATTTTTCACGCATTGTATAACTGGTATGTAACTCTATTCAAAATGCAAAAGTTCATGCTCCCCATGCAAAAGCTTATGCTCGCAAAATTTGAGCAATCAAAAATTAAGTACCATAACCTCCAACTCGCTTCACTTCCTATCTCCCACGATCTTATTCTTCTCTTCTCATTGGCACGACAGCCCAGGATGGGCTCTGGCCTTTTCAACAAGCCTATGCCAAGACATTCTTTCCTTAGCCAAGGTTCTCCAGTTTATTATCTTTAATAAAACTTGTAGGTCCTTTTCAAGGCAGTCAAAAAAATCTTAGGCTTGGTCGTCTTCTTTTTCTTGTACCTGATGGCCTGGCACTGAAAACTTTTTTGATTGTCCTGCTATCCTCCATTCTCACAATGTGGCTTGCCCATTTAATCCTTTGAATTTTGATAAATTTAATGACATCAGGTTCTTTATATGCTTCGTAAAGTTCCGTGTTTGATCTTCTAAACCAGGTACCGTTTTTACTTTTTCCACCAAAAATGCTTCGCAGTATTTTTCTCTCAAATCTAGCTATCATATTTTCTTCTCCACGGGTCATTGTCCAGGTTTCACGTGCGTATGTAAGCACTGATCGTATAAGACATTTATAGAGTAACACTTTTGTCTTTCTTTTTATTAGGCTTGACTTAAGATATTTTCTTAGACCATAAAAACACTTTTTGGCCATCTCCCACGACACGTTGCTATATTTTTTGTGTACTCAAATATATTATGTTGCAACAAAATTATAAATAGTACAAAAAAAGCTTTCAAATTAAAAATACCAAAAATGCATGCTTAAAAAAGATTTTTGCAAAATGCGAGTCTCTATCATCGCAATTGCCTCACATCTTTATTGCTTTTTTCAAATATTGAAGGTTTCACAAATATGTATGCACTAAGAATATTTTTCTCAGTTGTTTTATATCTTGTAGTCAGTGAATTTGATCTTGGTTAAAAAATTTGCCTGTCTCTTGGGGTTTATGTCACACATATTAAGAATACATATTTTTGAAGAGACGATGTTTAAAATTTAACATTAAAGCAGGATCGCTTAATAACAGGATGATGATTAGCAAATAATCACTTGTAATAATCTCTAATTAACAAAATCCAAAGTTTAAAAAAAACATAAATGCATTAAATTATAAAATAAAATATTATCTGGAGCAAAAACTCAACATTAATATAAATTACCTATCTACATGCAAAAAAATAATAATAGCCTAATTTCCTTACCAATGACAACTTATTTCATCTGAAAATGGAATACATGAAGCTGTCCATGAATACCATGTATAGATTACTCTAAAAGCCCGAAGACTCTCTAAAAGCCGACACGCACTTCATTATGATGAATCCTAGGTTTTACTGGTAAAATAAATCTAAGGTATAACAATGATTTGGTAGTTCCCTATACTGGTAAAATAAATCTTTGTTTTATTGGTGAAAATAAATCTAAGGGAATATAAATTTACCAAATTTACTTGTTCCTCCTTAGTTGTAAAACAAAAGTTTGATAAAAAGGCGGAAAGAAACTATATTAAACCCTTCTTCAAAATTATATTAGGTAAAAGGCCGGTTTTACCGGTAAATAATAGGACTTACCAGACGTCGAGATTATACCATACCAAATATATGTAGATTCAGTTTTATACAATCACATAATCTCTAAACATAATGATCATAATCATATTTTTACAAGCTGCCAATTTACCAAATTGACTTGATCCTCCTTAGTTGTAAAACAAAAGTTTGATAAAAAAGGCGGAAAAAAAACGATATTAAAGCCTTCTTCGAAATTATATTAGGTAAAAGGTCGGTTTTACCGGTAAATAATAGGACTTACCAGACGTCGAGATTATACCATACAAAATATATGTAGATTCAGTTTTATACAATCACATAATCTCTAAACATAGTTATCTTAATCACATTTTTACAAGCCGCAGAAGTTTTTATTAACCAATATTTTATTTGATTACAAAAGTTTTTAAAGAAAAATTCATTTTTTCAAAAAAATAATGCATTTGTAAACATTTAGCGAAAGAACTTAGCGATAAACTGTTTGATGTAATCAGTAAACGTATAATTCCCGTAACTGTAATTATTTTGCGGTTGCGATAGATTTAAGTACTTCTTGTTACGCTCATGTTCCCAGATAAACTACATTTAATGAATGCATCCATTAACGAAAGCAAGGAAGATACATGCGTCAAATTATCATCAGTTGCATAAATTTCATTAAGGGAAAGAGGGAAACTTTATCAGATTAAACAGTTATAAGTAGTGCTGTATAGATTTTCTGCTACAATTATTTTTGCCTATTTACTAGTAAAAGCAAAGTTTTCAACGCTGTATTAACTCAAAATTAAGAGCTTAGCTTATTTATTTACTTCAGTTTTAGCCTAATTAATGTTCACGTTAGAGAAAATGGTTGGTATTATTTGGAGATTTTTCTATGATTATGTGCATACATTTTCCCAAATTTAAATGTTTATTTTAATATTTCAAAAAAATAGGCTTTAGAACATATAGATTAAACTTCAATAATTATAACTGATTAAATGAAATTGACAAGTGTAAGCGTACAATGAGCAAAACATTGTAATTTCAATGTGAGGAGATATTTATATATTTAATTTCGGATCAGCTGAGAAATAAATGTTACTTGAAAAATTATGCTTATCACCATTTTTACAAATAATTTTATTTATTTATTTGTTTGTTTTGGAGCATACTCTTTAGATGTTCAAATGAAGGCATGAATAAGTAATAAAATTGTCAAAATAATTAATCAGCGAGTCAATAAGTCAGCGGATTTTCATAACAATAAAGTTTAACAGATAAATATTTATTTCCCAGCATGTATGTTTAAAACCAGCTTATGCTGTATGGTTCAAAGAAACTAAATGGTTATCTATACTTCTAGAAATATTTGTTCATTTGTGAATCCCTATATGGTTTGATTTTGAAGCAACATTAAAAAAATGAAACTGAATCATGTTGAGATATCAACTGATTTATTTAAACTGAGGAAAATTAAAACTTTAAATAAAGTTAAATAAAATGTTTATTAGAATTAACTGTTACGGTTGCTGTAAATTCAAACGCTAATATGGTGAAGCACTCTTAAAAGTTTCTGTGTACAGATATTAAGATCGCAGTAGAAAAGGAACTTATTAAACTTATTTGTTACTTTATATCTGAAGCAAATATTAACCAAATACTAATTTTTGATGGGTTTTGAGACTATTACAGACACTTTTGTTCCCTTATTGCATTGTTTTACCTAAAATTGGTACAAACTTTAAAAGTTTAAATCAAATCAAATATCTAAATATTTTTTAATAAAAAATAAAAGAAAAAAAGGACGAAGAAAATAGACTATAAATTCGAATTAAATCAATTATAAATACCAAAGAAATTACTTGACAGTTCATTATAGCCCTTAGGAGAAGTAATCAATTTAATTTAATAGCAACGTTAACAGAATTTATACTTTTTTTTATTTTAGCATGCGCAAAGTTCAGTGCACAAACTCTATTCCATTAAAGGAATTATAAAATTATTAAATTTCAAATCAAGTTTAAAATATCCAATCTTAGTTCTAAATATATATTTTTTCATATATCTTATCTAAATAAAAGAAAATAAATGAAATGACACAGAATGTTTTATATATCTTGTTTAAAGTAAGCAGAAAATAATAACATACATCATTACAGACTTAAAGATTAAACTAACAATTTAAATTTTTTATAGAGTTTGTAATAAAGTTTCTTTTTCTTTTTGCAGGTCTTAGCATAGAGTTTAATTTGAAAGCCCCTAAATTTCATCTAGAACCTCTTAATATTGTTGAATTTTTCAATTCAAGCGGTACTATTATACATTGTGGTGCAGAGGGCCAGCCCACACCAGCTATTAAATGGGTTAAAAATGATGGTGAAGTTTTGCAAGATATACCCGGTTTGAGACGCACCCGGCATGACGGATCTCTAGTATTCAGCTCTTTTGCCAGCCAAAATTACAGGGCAGACGTACATGCATCAACCTACAGATGTGAAGCTTCAAATATAATCGGTGTTATTGGTAGCAGAGATGTTCATGTTAAAGCTGGTAAGTTATTTTAATAATAATATACTGGTGTGCTAATTTTCCTTGTAATGAATTAAGTCAAGTATTGTCTGTTATTCAAAAATAATTTTAAGAACAAGATCGCTTTTTAGTGAATTATATTTTTTTATAATGTTCTTACTTTGTAATAGTATATACAAACTCATAGGCTAAGTTTCATCCATCTTTAACCAGGGCCTCTTATGCTTCTAGAAAAACCACAGTTTCGCGATAATGAGATGCGTTTGTGAAAATTTATCACATGCCAAATTTGCAACGAAACTTCACACTCTTACGTTGCATTTCGTACGCTCCCATACCTAAGATTTGAAGTAGTTGCGCTTGCGCACTTGAAGTAAGCATTTGTCAATTCTGGGATAATGAGTATGCACCTGTGAAAAAGGATCAAACTTATGTTAATGAAAATAAGAAATTTTGAAAAATCCCATATGCAAAAAATGCAACGAAATATCATTACAACTTCGACATCAAAATCAAAACAAACATTTTAATGGGCAAACATATTTTGGAAGTTAAATTTGACCTAATTCAATTTATATAGTCAGGGCCCTCGCTAAGCATTCGCCACCTCGCCAAATGCGTTAAAATCGTAAAGTTGGCCAATAAAATTGTGTTTTGGTGAAAGAATTGGTGAATGATTTTTCCACTGGAAAAACAAATATATATTTAACTCGGTCCTCAAAATGATGTCAAAACGAATTTTTCGAAACAAATCAGTATTTTTCATTCGATTACAGTACTTTTTGGTAGATGCACCGCACAACCAATTAAAATTGGGTCCAAATAATATAAGCCTTAAGAAACCTACCGTAAAATAGTTTTCTATAGGAAAAAAAATAACCATAAAAATTTTGAATTAAGCTATAGCTTTCGAAAATTGGCGATTGCTTTTGGTATTTGGATAATTTACTAGCTAATAATTTGAAATATTTTGAGCGGGGCCTAAAAGTTAAAATAAATATATTCTATAATTTTAAAACATGAAAAAAAATATTTACTTTCTTAAGGACCTGGTGCAGATAGGTAACATAGTTATGAACTAAAAAAATTAAATTTGTTTTTTTTCTCGTTAAATTAATCAATTGTTGTAAAATCACATGACTCATTTTAACATTGCGTAATAACGAATAGTAAATTTTCATTTTGTGCTGACGTTTTTCTTGATTTATCAATAAGAGGTCCATATTTTTAATTCAAAGGTGGGCTTATAAAGAGAAAACAACAACTTTGAACAGCGTGCTTGTAGCACTACAGAGTCACTCATAGGTTCTGACAGTAACGCGAGCACGAATTCTTCCTATTTATTTAGTGTAAATTTACGAAATCTTCCAAAAGTCTGAGCTCACATCATTCAAAACTTTAAAAAAAAAACGCTTATTGATTTTAATATTTTGAACCTAGGCCGGAAGCGATAGCCAAATTGACGAATTTTAAAAATTTATCCATTACTTTTAAATTATTTAAAATGTAAATCCAATATAGAATGTTGTCTTCTTTTCTAATATATATATCGAAATATATTTGTAATTTATGTTCCCAATATTTAAACATTTTCATTCTTTTAAAAACTAATACGAAAAAAAAAAATTGCAAAAACTTTTTTCTCTGTTGTGTTCTTTTTTACGGACTGTATTGATCATAACAAGAATCCCGTTGAAATAAAGAAACTACGAATATACTATTTATTTTGCTTTTAGTATTATTTCCTCACAGAACTTTTTGTTCAACGGATACTTTCCTCTAAATTTACAGAGAAAAAAAAATAACAATGGATAAGCATCATCAATATCTTTAGTGCTTCTTTTCTTTGTTTATAGTTTGAAAGACTTATTCTTAAACTTATAAGGCTTTTCATAAATCCAACAAAAGAAAATGTAAGAAATAAGAACTAGAAGCAGATATTTGGAAGAATTTTTTTTTCTGTATAAGTTTTTTTATTATTTTGTTTTGAAAATAAATGATTTACCTTATTGTTATATTCCTTTCCGAATCTGCAATCTAAAGGGTTTAAAATTTGCTGGACCACTAAACTGTACAAATTTTCTGTAACCGTAATATGGTACAGAGCTAGTCTACGTTGTATTCAAACTTAATTGACTTGTTCCAACATGAATGGGAACAGTGTTCCACTATATTATTCTCCGTATTTTTGCTCAAAATAAAATTTGGCACGTATCGGCACTTATTATAGAAAAAGATCATTTTGGTGACAACTTGGCGGTGACTTGGTTTATTTAGTTTAGAAGGAGCCTGCGGGATAGAGTTATCGCCTCTCTATGAGGAGACCCGGGCTCGAACAAGCGGTGGCTGATCAATACGAATTCTGTAGCCGGCTAGCACTGACCACAGTGCTGACGTAAAGTATCTGTAGTGGTAGACGATCATGGTTTGGAATTCCCTTTCCGTAAGGCTAACCATGGGATGTTTTCGTGGTCTTCCTCTTTATGCGACGCAAATGCGGGTTAGTTCTACTTAAAATTCTTCCACGACAGCAAGTATTTACGAAATTGATCTTGCAGTCATCTTGTCGTCAGGATTAGAACGAAAATTATAAGGACAATGAGTTAAACAATGTTAGTCATAAACTTAAAACTGGCTAGGCTATTCCACGACGGTAATAAAATAAAATAAAAAAACTACTCTGACGATGCATATTATCTTTTTTGGTAATAGTTTAAAATCGAGGCCCCTCTCATTTTTGGAGATTGGGTTTTGAAGAATATATGTGTAAATAAAAAACGAACGAATCACATAGAGGTAAACAAAGGTTAGGGTAACCTGAAGGTGACGTCATTGAAAGCACAGACTGCAAAGTATACCACACTAGAGCCATTTTTTATGTATCCATGGGTCATTTATAGATATTTTTCTTTTATCTATTTTAGATTCTTATACTAACTTATTTGCTTAATACATTATTTCTAAGAACTTAGTCGGTATTACAAAAAAAAAAAGGAAAGAACATCGTTTTTTTAAACAATACACGCATTATTGCTTCATATAATAAGCGCATTTGAATTTTTTTTCCCGTAATATCAAAATGTATTTACTTAATATATATATATATATATATATATACTAA